AGCCAATACTGACGTTGTTCATACTTATTGTTAGTCTATGCTTTATACATTGAATTGACTACAGATTTTCCCATTATCTACCTATTATTAAAGGGGACACACAACGAGTATGACCGGTCGGCTTGGGATGATCACTCCTTCTGATCTGGAGCCTGATCCCATCTTTGATATTTCGGAGGTCCGTGTTTGCTCTGCTCCTATTTTGTATTGTTTTATGGACTTTAATATCGTTTATCTCCATGTGATTTCCAAAACTTCTGATTTAGAAATCAACACTTTCTTCATTTCAGAATGTCTTAAAGCATATTTCCTGTGCACTTTCGTTATTTAATTTTTTGTGAAAAAGAAAAATTTTAGATACACATCGACGATGACACGTTTTTCCCCTGTAAATAAGTTTCAAAATTGAGTATGTCTTATTCTGTATGCATTTCCTATATATTGAATACTGTTCGTTATCTACATATCACATATATCTACATATATATCACATATATCTACATATCCTTCCTCTTGTTTTAGTCTTATTCCAATAAAAATGTATAGGTGGAAACAGACCTTCCTGCTCTTAAATTTGTTCTTATGATAATTTCACAACACTTTGCTAAAGTATTTAGTGCTTTGTTCGGACTCTTCGCAAGTTTTTACAAATCACAACCAAATACCAACTCTTGACATTATAGTGGAGCAGGAGTAGTCTGTAGGAATATAGCTCAAGGTTAATCAAAAAACTTATTTGTACAACTTCCTTCTATAACTGTGGATCTAGGAAATGTTTTACAATCATATCCGCAAAAGGTCTTGTGCTGTTCGATGGATTTGTACAATTTTCTATACAAACAAGTATATAGTTTTGTCTCCTTTTCTTCATGCAGTTATGCATCAGCCGTAATATCAAATACAAATATCATTCATTCATACTGACAAATACTTTCTAAATTCATATCTACATGTAAACGAGTAGAATGTTTCTTCTAGCCTAGTACATGTTTTACTTCAATAATTACAAAGAAATGTTTTTCTAATAAAAAAATCGTTTGTTTCAAGTCTTTTGCAATGGAGGGATTTCGACTATTAGCATTATCTTCAAGTTTAGAATGAATAAGCAGTCTTGGAAGCACAATTAATGTTATATATATCATAAAATAAAGATGACTATCAGAGAATATCAAATAAAATAATCCCTTAACAGTTTTGTTTGTACCTAGTCTTCGCCGAATATGCATATATTGAGAGAATGCGTCCTATATACAAGGAATTACGGATGTTTCGGGACCTGACAACATGTTTTTGGGACTTGGGTTAACACGTTTCGGGACTTTGGCTAGCACGTTTCGGGACTTCTAAATAATTTGTTAAGGAAATTAAATAAAACTTGTTTACCTGTGTTTTTAAGTTTATACATGTATAATTCCTTAGTTTGATACACAATTTATAATTTAAAAATCACAGATTGGAGTTTTTATTCGTTTTAAAGTTCGCATACGGCATTGAGCACGCCTGCCGAGAAAATCAAACGCCCGCGGTGTTGTCTATAATTTCTTATTACAGTTTTTATATATATTACCTTTATGAAGTATTTGGTTAAAATTTGACCAAAATTTAATTCAAAAAATATTTTTGGAAATATGTATTTGATTTATTGAAAGTGTTTGATACGAGAGTTTGTAGAGTTAAAGGAGACAATCGTAAATGCTGTGTGAAGACCACGGACATCGTGTATTTCTTTTAAAGACTTTCTTTCTCTCCTTTTTTCAATAATAATTTTAGGTATTTAATTTAATATTTGTTTACAGAATTAACAAAGGCTCAAGCTAGTACATGTGCAGTGAAAACTTTACTTTTGAAATATTATGAACTATGCATTCTATGTGTACTTTGAATAATATGCTATATCATCATAATGAAATAATTTGTTGAGTTCCCGAAAAAAATTAACCCGAGTCCCGAATCGTCTTGTCGCTAGTTCCGAAACGTCGTATTTGTCAGGTCTCAAAACGTCGGGGTCCCGAAACATCTTGCACCCTATACAAGCCACGAAAATAATTTTTCTTATCAGGTTTATGCAATTTCCACTTCAATGACGTTCATGAAGTTCACGTGTTCTTATTAATAGTTAACATTAACAATATAATGTTTTATAATCCACCCATTAGATATACCATTTTAAGGAAGAAGTAAAATCAATATGTTATGTTGATTTTTTTTTCAAAATTTACACGGCTATAATTATTTCCCTTTTCTCTCTGTTACTTCATTTCAACAGGTAGGAAATTTTCAATAATAAACACAGGTTTTTCTTTACATTTTAATATCGTTAAGCATTTACCAATGTCATTCCATTGATAGATACAAAAACACAGGTAACTAATACTTTGTTGGCTTTAACAATTTCTTATATTGCATGTCAGTATACAGTGTATATCTGAAAGGAAGGGAAGTAAGAGGACTACTAATTGTCCTATCTGTGGAATATATCCTCGTTTTATTTTTTCTTATATATCAAAACAGTGTTATTGGATCTTTCTATTCCTTATATTGTTTATCGATGTTATCACATTTTACCTCTTACACGATCTCTGAAATACAGGGAAATGATCAAACGAAACTACCGAATGTCTAATCAGTAGAATATTTCCTCATTTTTATCATACACTGTACCTTTATTTATCTTTATGTACTTTTTTCCTTATTTTCCTTATTTAACTCATAAATAGTGTTTCTAGGGTGCAATTTCTTTTAATAAAATGAAAAACAATTTTTAAGATACAAGAGAGATTTGTGATTTAAAGAGTGGTTCTCATATTATTTTGAAGATAAACGAAAATTGTACTTTATTAATCAAGGAGTAGTGCCTTGAATATATGTTGGGTGTGAAAAACATGTATGTCCATCAGAATTCATAATTCACTTTGTTTCTACTCGCTGAAATATGATATTATATAGGTTCTTTAATACACTTTATATATCAATTAACAGTGAAACCTTTTATAACGTAGGATGAAATGATTATGAAAGATTTCTATGGAATGTTTTTTATTGATATAAGACAATGCCAGCACATCATAGAGACGTACATTGTACTTTAACCAAATACATTAAGATGTTTCAAAGTTAAAGTACAGGGTGTCCCATAATATATGATACCATTTCTTGTTTGAATTAAACACAACTTAATGAATATTGAATAAAAACAAATGCATTGTTAATATGTCATATATTGTCCAATTTTGTTAACATAATTTGATAGACATTAAAAAGAAAACAACAAAATTAGAACACTTTAAATTTTGATACTGTTTTTACATGATGTGCTCCAAATGACGTCCTTTCTGGCTAGTGACGATGTTGAGACGTTGCATGAAATTTCTAATGACTGCGGCACATGTCTCGTCAGTTATCTTCCTGATTTCCCTCCGAATTGCATGTTTTAAGTCTGCTAAGGATTCAAGCTCTGGCTTGTACACATTGTCTTTTAGGTATCCCCACAAAAAGAAATCCAGAGGGCTTAGATCGGGGGAATGAAGAGGCCAAATGTGTGCAGTTTTGAAAGAGATCAAATTTCCATTGAATGTTTCGTGCAGCCAGTCAGTAACATTTCGAGTTGTGTGAGGCGTAGCTCCGTCCTGTTGAAACCATATGTCCGTAGGATTAAAACCCCTTCTTACTAAACATGGCAAGAATTTCTTCTTCAAAAGTTTCAGATAGCGAGTACTGTTAACAGTCTGAGTTTCGCCAGTTTCATCTTCAAAGAAAAAAGCCCGATTATCCCTTTAGAACTCATGGCAGCCCAAACTGTTATTTTCTCTCCATGAACAGGTTTCTCCAGATAAAGATTTGGTTTTTCGCTACCCCAGTATCGAGAATTTCTCTTGTTTACTATCCCGTTTAGGTAGAAATGAGCTTCATCGGAAAACCAAATGTCATTGACTATATTGTCATGCTCCCTCATCCATTGAGCAAAAGTAAAGCGGCTCTCAATGTCACTTTGCTTAAGGTGCTGCATTACAGATATTCTATAAGGCTTAAGTGTAGGTCAAATCTTAAAATTCTGTGAACACTGGATCGGCTACATGACATAGTGTTACTCACATCACTTAAAACTTTCCTCACGGATCTTTGCTCCTTTGTTTCCTCTATAACTTGCCGCACCTGTTGAATGCTCTCTGGAATCCTCACCGACTTTGGTCTGCCTCCATTGTTCTATCTGTTGTCTTGAATAGATCCCGTTTGCTCAAACTTTTTTACAATTCTTAATATTTGCTGCTTGGTTACTCGTTTTTCCTTTGGAAAATCTCTTTTTAAAATTCTTGTTACAGTAACTGGAGACTGGGTTCGGTAATATAGTTTTAAAATAAGGGTAGCTCGCTCCTTTGATAAATCCATTTTAATTCAAAGACAGTTTTCAATGCAATATTATGAGGTAATTTTGTGACATCACAATTCCAAAAAAAGTGAGATATTTTCCCGCCATATTTTGGTGCTATAAAATTGTATTTATTCAATTTATAACTTAGGCAAAAATCAAAGAAATTGGTTAAGGCATTTGTTTTTTATGGTTATTTAAAATGGTATCATATATTTTGGTACACCCTGTATAATATAAACGTCATAGAAAGATTATTACATCTCTCTCTCTCTCTCTCTCTCTCTCTCCATTTGGCATAGTGGTCAGATATTATATAAATTATATTTCATTATCTCAATAATAACTGAAAATTTCAATTATTGACGTGTTAGTATATTCTTTTCTTGTCCTTGTTGATGTAGCTACAGTTCTTTATATGTCGAGAAAACTGTTTTCTCATGATTGGATTTTTGCACAGCCATTAGCTCGATCGAGAAACTCCAGTTCTCTGTCCGGCGAGCCACTTTAAATATACTGTAAAGTATTAAAAGAATTTTATATATCTATTAGTCCGGAGAAAATCTGCGTATCATTATCCTTTTTCCCCAGAACTACCACTGATGAAATTTGAAGACCAGACTCCGAACTCACCTAGTCAAATCCTGTATAATGAAAATTTTCAGGTTTCAAACGTGAGATTTTGGTACGAAAAATCGCGTGATACGGATTTCACGTCTTGATATTCATGTGTTTCAGAAGTCTTTTCTTTTATGTCTACTTCAGTTGTTATGTAGTGAGATGAGGAATATCTTCTCACTTTTACTTGCTTTCTTCTAAATACAAAAAAAAAAATTTAAAAACATTTTTAAAAAATGCACCTATATTTTTTATAATACTAAAGAATAGATTAGAAAAAAATACCTTTCACAAATCCATAATGCACAGGTCAAAACGTTCAGTATGCCGAATATGGACATTCCAATAGCATAAAACCAGTGATCATCACATTTTCTAGCCATTGTCAATGATGAAACTTCATACAAATATAGGAAAAAGCCATAATAGATGAATACACTCAGAGATTTTCAACCCAGATTATAGGAATAAACGTAACAGGAAAGAATGATACTTAATAACTTATTCATCTATTGAAATGGTACTGTTGATGAATATAAAAATTTGTGTATGTGGTTCTATTCATGATCATTTGCTTTTAGCTTATCTGATTGCTTTCATATATTACCTTGTTTGCATTCTGGAGAATTTTCTATTCCAGCTTTGCAGTTACAAGTCCCGTCAATATGATGGCATATATCAGAGCAGTTCTTAGAGCAAACATTGGAACAATTTGCTCCGAAATAACCATTACCGCAAACTGAAAAGAAATAAAATGTTATTTCTAATAATTTCAGATTAATGATTTGTTTGAAATTTGTTGGTTCATTTTTTCTTTGATATGAATGGTTCTATTTTGCAGTCTTATCTTTTGCGTGTTTTTTTTAATATTAATGTTATATTAATTTTTGAGGAAAAGAGTATTTGCAAGGCTTTATTTGAATTGATTTTATAAAGTTATACATTTGGTTTTATCATGTCAAATCTGAGGACAGTATATTGTTTTGTTGAGTTATCATAAATCTGTTTGTAGCCAAATAAGAAAAAAAAATATTTATCATTTTGGCATCTCATCTTTTCGTGTCCTTTCATTGCATTTCGGATAAATAAGCATTTGGGGAGAAAGGAAAAATAAGATTTGATTTGATAGGGAAAGGTAGATATGAATATGTACTTTTGTCTCTATGAAGCATTTCATGAATTTCCTCATAGTCCCTGATAATCTTTTATATAAGTTGAACATATGTATTAAAAAAAAAAACACCATAAAAGTATGCATTGATAAGCATCTTTCTGCATTCAAGTGTATGTTGTCTTTCACAAATTTAAACATATTGTATACTTAATATATGCTTTAGCACAACTCATACTACATTAAGACAAAATATACCAAGAATAGGTTGCAAAAATAACTAAAACAATCTTAAATGCCTTTATAAAATATAAATATAGATATATATCTATTTAGCTCACCTAAATTGCATAGCTCTCCTTTATATCCATCTAAACAACCATTTTTACAAACTCCAGTCACGTGGTCACAAGATTCCTTGTTAACGCAGTTTTGACTACAAGAAAACATACAGTCTGTTCCATATTTGTCTGCGGTACATACTGTCAAGGATATGAGAATTTTTTTTAAAAAAATGTCATTGATTAAAGATGCATAGATAAAACATTGCAACATTAAAAATTCTACATGAAGCGCAACATCAGCTTAATTATTATCTTGTCGGACCACTGGCATACCCAAAGCATTTTCCATTTTTTCGAAGCATTGGTCTTTTTACAATGCAGAGGACACTAAATATTGCATTTATCCTCAAAAACCCTCTTCTTTCACAGCATAATACAATGAGAAAAATTAAAAGTCGTGTTTTTGAAAGGGACATTGGGGAACCTTTTACGATCATTGCAAAGCATAGAAATATGCGAGAACTAGCAAATCTGACCTTAGAAAATCTTTTCATATTAATCTAATAAAACACTTCTCACGGAGGACGCTGTAACAATATAATCGTTGGTAGAGCACTTCGACATCAAACATTGGTGACTCTAACAAACAAAAGTTTGTATAAATGATGTATTAAGATTTTATTTCGCTGTTACCAATTAATGTTGGTTTAAACAAAAATAATTCAGTCACAGTCATAAAGCACTACCAATTTGAATAGCTGAACTTCTAAAAGGTTATGTTGATGGCCTAAACAAATACATTTGAGTTGCGTCAAGCGAAAAGGGACCTTCGTGACATAAACATAATTACGTCATAATAGCTCTTCAAAGACGTGACTTCGCGCCGGTGCGTTTGCCGATGAAAAAAGTTTTATACGATAGAGCAAAACAAAAATTTATTTGTGTAATACATATTTTTAAAAAATAGACACGCCTAAAATTGTCTTTGAAAAAATGTTCAATGTCGTCAATTTACAGGTTTACTGGTAATTTTTTTCAAAAAAATATGTAAACTAATTTAATTTTTGATTGTTTATGAATGGTTTAAATTATTTGTGAGCTGTCAAAAATGTTCATCAACAAATCAATGTACGTGTCTACCTCATGAAGCTCTGAAAACAATCGCTTTTTGGCCTTTCAGACTGAGCTCCAGTCTCTACAGATAAGCAAGTGGTTCCAACCATTCATTTCAATGTGTTTTTTTTGGGGGGGGGGGATTTTTTTAGGGGGATACATGTAACACATTCAAGATTGTTTCTCCGTTAGACAGAAAGGCCCGAGAATTGGCGACTCAGTGCCCAAAGTTTGTTATCAGAGATTAAATATTCGAATCATGTTTACTGATTCTGGCATAGTTGCAACAGCATTTTGTAAATTCATATTAAGGAAAAAAAATATGAATGCAGCAGCTAAGAAACTTTGTCTGTAGCCATGCTTAGTTATAAAGGATGAAGCAGCAAAAGGCATACAGACTTCCGTCTTTTTACTCCCTAAAATTAACACGTCACCTTTGGCGTGACACTCTGTGGTTTGGAAATTTAACTGTATGACGCAATAAAAGGTGAAGATAATAAACAGTGGTCATTTTCAAAACTAATTTGTGGTCTTGTTTTCATATTGCCTAAAATAATTGCATTAATTAAATTAAAACTAAGCACAGTAACATAAGGTGAAGCTGATGTTGTTAAAGTCGAAAATTAAGAGCGAAATAGGTCATGTATTGAATCATACACATGTAGGTTTTGAATGTTATTTTCTGATTACTGATCTTATTTCAGGCAAAAACAGTAGTTTCGGACTATAAATATTAGCACATCTTGAGTTGATATATTTTACATAATATTAATTAACAGGTTTGATCTCCCTTTTCTTTGGATGTGCTCGTTTTTATTACTACGGAAAGGGAAGCCTTCCAAGGATAAATTCCGATTTTTTTCTTTATTCTCTTAATTTTTTTTAAAAATCAATTTATTTTTCGTTTAGATTTTACTAGTTCATTTTCGTTTTCACGTATTTAATTAACTATTAAATTCTTTTTTAGTTCGACCATAACCACTTTGAAAACACTGGTACATACACAATATCTCCATCCCACCCCTCCTTCTAAAAAAAAGAAAAAAAGACATCGCCTATATATTTGATCAATGAATGAAGTACCGAATCATTGTCTTGAAATTCATATTATCAGCAAAGTTTTATATATATTTTTTCAAACCTCGAGAGTTCCGTACCTTCTCAATTATAGATGATATTTGCAGAGTATCATGATAATCAGATTTATCCCTAAAAGAAAATACTGTTATTGAGAAGGCCGTTTATGGCTTTGTTTTTTGAGATTATAAATAGCTACAAAGTGCAAACCGTTTTCCGGAATTATGCGGTTCTATCGTTACGGTTCTAGGGTCAATAATACTTGAGCTTTGATGCGCATGTGCTTGGTCTTTTCAACTTCCCATCTTGTTCAGTGCAGACGAAATCAATGGTGTTAAGAAAAATAATCAAGTGTCATCGGCAAGTATTTTATCAATCGAAGAAATTTAAGTATGAAAATAGCGTAAAGTTATCATGTTTATTCATGTTGTATGAATTTGTTTAAAATCTATCGACTAATTCTTCAAAAAATGGTCATGTAAAACAAGAAAATTTTACTTTCAATTCTTGTTTCAATGAATGCATGTTTAAATATCAATAATAAGCATGATAAGTAATAAGAAAAATTCTGTCGGTTTTATAATTATTTGCAAGAACGATGTTATTGACTTGAGAGTGATGGTTCCTCAAGGAGAGGCAATATGAAATCGCTTTAGGCCAGACCCCTGCACGTGTAGCAAGACCCTCGGATAAATAATTTATTTATATGGTATAATTACACAATATCACCATTTATAGAAAAAACAAGGAAATTCGGATTAAAATATGACGACACTATTGCAATGTTTTTAAACATATGTTGTAATTGTAACTTTGTTAAATGAGTTGGATATCTATATATAAAATTACAGACAATATTGCTTTTTTTTCTTCAAGATAATTAAATGTAAAACCATTGTTTACCAATTGGGTCAGGAATAAAACTTCCAAATTAAATTAAAAAAATTATTTTCAATTTGGCATGGGGCCTAATTTCAGCTTATGAGAAGGTACTGATAAATCCCTGCATACACTTACAACAAGGAAAAATTTTGGAACATTAATGATTATATATTTCTTGCTAAGTTAATATTGCAGTTGGATCCAGCAGATGAAATTATAATGCAGTTATATCTAGCTGATTAAATTAAGCAACTGCTTGTGTTTAAAGATTGAAGAAATTAATGTGTTCAAGGCATTATATGTATATCAGTCTAATAAGGCTAGGGGCTTCAGTCAACAACACTTGGTGGGAGAATTTGACATTCACTTTAGATTTAGGCGTTCAATAAACAGTATGATGTAGTTTTGTTTGGAAAACCTAAACACTTGCCCTACCCAATTTTTGCTTGCCCTACTATAAACTATAATACTGTATTTATATTTATAAATATTTTTTAAGAAGAGAGACAAATATTGAGTACAATATGCAAGTCACTATGACCAGCTTTATATCTGTCTTACATATTGATTTGAATTTTGAGTCACTTGCCCTCGGGCAAAGGGATAAAATTTCACTTGCCCACCATTACAATTCACTAGCCCCCAGGCGAATTTGTGCTCTCCTGTAAGGGTCGACTCGCATTGTCTTTCATCAATTAGATATCAATCCCAATCTGACACCCAGTTTATAAAGGCCTCTTAGGCAATAATGACCCATGGCCTCCCCATATTTTGGATGTAGGTTTCATTCCAATCAATGTTACAAATTTTACATGATTTATATTCAGTTTCTCATTGAACTATGATGGTCCATCAGGGTGGGTTTTAATATCTTGCAAAAATATGGTTTCAGCATTGGAACATAAAGATGAATTATTTGCTAAACTGAACAAAGAAATTGCATGAACTAGGTCGCATAATAATGGGTCCATTTGATGCCCCACCATTTCAAAGTTGGAGGTAATCACCAATATATCTGCTCCACATGGAAAGAGTATAACTTTATGAATTCGTTAATCCCAAAATTTCCTCAATTAATTATTTATCTTCCAGTCAAGCTGTTAGCATATATAGTACAAAAACTTATATACATTTTATATGGTACAAATTATGCATAACTATGGAAAATGGATATTTCAAATGAGTTCAGGTTGTTACCAGTCATACCTGAAATTTTTGTCTTCTTGGTTTTAAATGTTTGTTAAATATGATGTTCACAAATGTTACTGATGGATTGTGCCATATTAAATATTGTTTGCATTAATTATTTCAAAAAAAAAAAATCCAGTTTTTTACAAGGGGTGAAAGAGTATAGCATCAACTTTAAAAATGTTTTTCATTACTACATGATTTTATTATTTGCTAGAGCTCATGGTACAAACAAAAGTAAACTTTTATTATTTCCTTTCAAAATATTTCATATTCATGTTCATATTTCAGAGGTAAATTCTAGTCCAACAACATACATAGTGTTCTTAGGTTTAGGTATAAAGTCGGTAATCATTCAATTTACAAAAAGAAATACTTGAAATTCAGTGGAAACCTTAGATTACATTAAGGCGGCTTCGGTCTTTCAGTCTTGGTTCATTAGGCTAAGCTTTAGTTACAAAGGCCTTGCCGGCAGGTAGAATTTTACATGTTGATGAAATCATATGGTTAAATGTTTGGTGTTACTATTAGTCGCATCACTTGGTAAGGCTTTCCAGAGAAATGCATAGTGATCTTCAAATCTGGTTAACATTTCTTAGTGAAGTTAATAGTTCTACACTATTTCCAGAGTCAGAATGGGAATCCTAAAAAGATGTATAATTTTATTCAGACGGCTTAGGTTCAATGGTTTGTGGTGTCAGTTTTGAAACTTTCTGGTTTTATCTTCGTTGGTCACAGGATTAGAATGTTGATACAAGAAAAGACATAATAACCTTTTCAGAGTTTGTTCGTAAAGTTAAGGATTTTACTTGTTGTCAGACCAGGTAATTGATATTGCATGTTGACATAATACTATAATAGCTTTGATTGAAATCTTAAATAGGAAAACATTTAAGATTAAATGGGTTAAGATTTTCATGAGAGCATTAGTATTGCTTTCTTTGAAGTTTACTATTCAGTTTAAAGCAGTTCATTTAAGCAGTATAAGTGAGATAGCAGATTCAATTTCTCAATTCCAGTGGAACAGATTCAGGCAGCTGGCACCTTGGGTAGATTTAATGTTATCCTTATCAAGTACTTATTTAATTTTGGAACCTTTTGGAGGACTGTGCATGCAATTCAATCATTTGATTGAAGTTAGCTTTTTGAACTTCACAAAAATTGCATATGTCAAAGCCATAGTTGTTTTCATGACTTTAGATTACGATTTTACTTGCCTTCATTTTGGCCACCTCCAGTAGATCATCCAGTCAACTCCTTCATTGTGTAAAAATTCTGACAGGTTTAAGAAGATTTAAATGTTCAAATGACATCAGAGGTCCTTTAACATGCCTTCTTTTACTAAAAAGTTTTATTGTTTTATCAATGGGAACACATTCAAAATACACATGTACGAGCATAATTTACCATTATTATTGGTCTACATTTGCCACTGCAATTTTTGATCAAATCAAATGAGAGTCTAAGAAATGCACTTCATCTTTCTGAAGTTTTAAATCTACAGTAAGTTATGAAAATATCAGATTGAAGTTGTGTCTTTCTAAAACAGATCAGAATGGAAAGGTTTAGTTTATAGTTATCACTATCAGCATATCAGACTTGGAGTTGACTGTGTGTTTTAGTTTATAGGAAACTTTCTTGCAATTAACAGGATGACCATTTATTTTGCCATATCAATGGTTAGGTACATGAACATCTTAATCAGCACACCAGATTTGAAGTATTTTGATTGTACAAGAATTGAGATTTTTAGGTATTGAAATAGAAATTTTCAAAACACTCTCTTTTAAAATTGGGGTGCTACTCATATGTATTTGCCAGGCATGTCTGAACAAAAAATTTTTAAAAAAAAACAAAAACAAAAAAAACAAGGTAAGATGGGTGTTAGATGCATTATCTCAGACTTGAGTTGTTACATTTTAGATGTAAATAATAGCATTATTAATGACGGTTACATCATTGCCATTGTGATCATGTCATGAACAATGCTGGCTGCTTTTCTGCTCTGGTAATGTAATGGCATTGTTTGGCCATCAAAGTGATGAGTCTACGAATTTTGGGATTTGGAACTGTTGTGGCTTTATGAAGATGATGTAAAAAAAAATGTGTTTGTGTATATGTGTAATTTGTGAATGATATTGACTTGTCAAAATTCGGCCGCTTTGATGGCGGTTGGATTTCATTACGTTTGAAATCCAATTGGCGCAATTTTGACAAGTAACCATTTGCTGAGGGTGATACTATTATCTCCAGGTCCCCCAGCTATGATATGGTTTGTTTGATATTTGTGAATGCTGTGCTGCCAAAATGCTTACCAGTTGATCGGCGCATAGGTTATGAACATGCCAGTTGCATGTTGCTGATGTTTGAATGAACATGCCAGTTGCATGTTATCTGTGAATGTAATTTGTAATAAAAGCCATGACAGTTCCACCAATACAGTAAATTTTTGTTGTTCTTCAAATTCTATCAGCTAGAATAATGTGTTTTTCATTAGAAAATTTCAAAGGCTTTGATTATCAACCTTTATTGAATAGTTCTTGTTAGTATTAGGCATTTCGAAATAATCAGATTTATCCCTAAAAGATAAATACAGTTATTGAGGAGGCCGTTTATGGCTTTGTTTTTTTGAGATTATAAATAGCTACAAAGTGCAAACCGTTTTCCGGAATTATGCGGATCTATCGTTACGGTTCTAGGGTCAATAATACTTGAGCTTTGATGCGCATGTGCTTGGTCTTTTCAACTTCCCATCTTGTTCAGTGCAGACGAAATCCCCTCCCTTCCCTCCCTTAAATACTAGGGTTGGTCTGAATACTAGTATTTAAATGTATTTACTATTCAATGAATTCTTTCTGCTCCTTTTTCTGCTGTGTGTTTTCTTTCAATTTCAGAAATCGTCATGACTTGTACATGCACACCTATGAAGAAGGCCATCATGGACTTTGCTGTGAGAATGTGATAATCCTGACTGTTAAGTTACAATTTCAGAAATCGTCATGGCTTATACACTGTCAGATGAAGAAAGTTATGGACTTCTATTTGCTGTGTGAATGTGATAATCCTGACTGTAGTGTTATGTGACATTTTCAGTAATCGTCGTGGCTTATACGCTGATGAAGAAAGCTATGGACTATGCTTTGTGAATGTGATAATCCTGACCTTTTCGTGTTAGCGCAATTTTGACAAGTAACCATTTGCTGAGGGTGATACTGTTATCTCCAGGTCCCCCAGCTATGATATGGTTTGTTTGATATTTGTGAATGCTATGCTGCCAAAATGCTTACCAGTTGTAAGATCGGCGCATAGGTTATGAACATGCCAGTTGCATGTTGCTGATGTTTGAATGAACATGCCAGTTGCATGTTGTCTGTGAATGTAATTTGTAATAAAAGCCATGACAGTTCCGCCAATACAGTAAATTTTTGTTGTTCTTCAAATTCTATCAGCTAGAATAATGTGTTTTTCATTAGAAAATTTCAAAGGATTTGATTATCAACCTTTATTGAATAGTTCTTGTTAGTATTAGGCATTTCGAAATAATTTGATATTTGGGAAGCTTTGCACCTCTTTTGTTAGTGTTGCCGAAGAACTTTCTCAATTTACACTGCGATTGTAAAATCATTGCTTATATATACCGACTCTTATTTTTGTGAACTCTTTATAATTTTGTCTGATGACTCCATTTTTGAGCTCTGTAAAAAAAAAAATTTATAAAGCCCTTTCCCACAAATGAAGTTGAGATAATGTCGTTGAATATACTCCTTGAAAATTTACTACTTACTTTTTTATTTCAATATACAGAACATGTACATTAAGATGATATTTTTTCAACGACCTTTAAATTATCACCATTTTACAATGTGTACGATCATCAAAATGCTAATATTTGGAGAAAAATAAATTTTAAAAACTTTAAAATACATCTATAGAAAAAATAATTTCTAACTAATACAAAGGGGTGATTTAGTAATCACGTGGCACGTTCCAATTATCAATGATGCTATACATGTGACGTTATTCAACGATCTACAGCGTTATCCTGTTAGCATTGCATTGTTTTTATTTGGAGTTTTAATTAGAATTTAGAAGGTATATAATAAAATATTTGGTATCAAAATATTCAAAAAAAACTAGCTCTTTCAGAAACGGTGAAAAACCGATTTTCAAAAATTTGGTCACGAAGGTTCCTTTTCACTTGACGCAATTCATTTGATTGAGGGATTTTTTTAAACAATATCAAATGTGTCACTTACCTAAAACAAATAAATCACATGGTTCTAAAAAAGTAAGGTTTTCTATTAACAAATTGGATATAACGCCCAAAAGAAGCATATTCGTGTTCTGTCCTTAATGAAGATAGGTATGACCAATAAGATTGAAGCACAAATCACGAGTTTTTATTGCATGATAATTAAGAATTAGTGAACTAAGGTACATCATACCTCGGGTAGTAAGTCTTAATAGTGAAACATGTTCCTTTGCGATGCAAATGCCTCAGCTTTACATGTAGTTGGTTTTTTTTTTAAATGTTTTTGTTGTAATAAACAACTAGTTAAGATTGCATTGAAAATAATCACACATATACAAAGCTGAGTTTAACATCACTTAAAATTTTAAGAAGATACCTTCAGAGCATTGAGGGCCTATCCATCCTGGTTCACACCCATAATGGCACATGCCGGAAATAGGATCACAGGATTGATTCACACATTTCTCACATCTCAAGGAGCAGTTCTGACCATACGATCCGTTGTTGCAAGCTATTTTTACAATGTAATCAATCTATTTTCAAAAATGTTTTAACTTTCAAACGATAATTTCTAAGTTCAAATAAAAAAAATCATGTAAAATACATGCATACATACAATGTTCACAAGTTGGGCCTTGGTACCCGCTGATGCACCCAAAGTTGCAGTTTCCATTGATATTATGACAGCTTTTTCCAAAACAGAGAGGACTGCATTGTTTCAAACAGTTATGTCCGTAATATCCAAAGCTACATACTGAAATTTGTAGTAAAACTTAATTCCTGGAAACAAAATTAGTTTCTGTTATAATTTTCTTAAACGTTATGAATTTTCTAAAAGAAATTTGTAGTTATCGTAATCAAAGACATAGTTACCAACCCATATTATTTTTTTTAAGAATGGCTTTTTGGAAAACCGTAACCGTTCATCTAGTATCGGGTAATTACTGCAAAACATACATTACCGTATATTATCGACTATAAATCGGATTTTTGAGAGTTAAATTTTGGTCCAAAACTCTATGTTAGATTTATAGGTGAGTCATAAAGAGAATGGTATTTTTCTGGACGGTGAAATAAAGAGTTTTTTTTTTGTTTTTTTTTTTTAAGAGAGTAAAAAAAATTCACGGGTGTTTTGAACTACCCTAGTGGCGTTATTTTGTAAAATATTAAAATATCTCTGCATTGGGTTGAATTTGTCAACCGATTCTGGCAAAATGTTGTACCGACTTATAAGCGGGTCAATGGCAAATATGTAAAAAAAAAATAACCTCAAAAATTACAATCGACTTATAGACGGATCGACTACTAAGCAAGTATATACGGTATTATCGTTGTCGTTTCATTGACACGTTAAAGGATTGTTTCGTGATACGAGTATCATAAAGAGAATTATCCTATAAGCAGAAAATTTAGCGCGACGTAAATTTATTGATTTGTTATTAAAAATTCGTATTTTATTTTTGGCGAGATGTAATTTTAGAGATTTTAAAATAGTCATTTTATTAGCGATCTCAGATCTCAGCAGCTTAAAATTTAAAAGTAATAATTAAAAAAAAACAATATCACTGAATATCACTCTTAAAATAAATTGAAATAAAACAGTTTAACATTTATATCTTTATATATTTTGGGACATTATGTATCCGTATAGCCTAATAACAAAGATAACTTCATTGACAATGTAATGTTATTTGAAAAAGTCAAAAATTGGCGTGCGCCGACCAAGGATATTTAACAGCCCTGATATGCATGTGACATTACAGGCCTATAATATTTTGTAAAAATAGCTAAAAGATCATTATCCAACAGCATGCAAAAATATTAGTTTTCGTTGAATAGTATTTGAAATATTCATAACGTTCGCGCTTTTCTTGGACAACCCCGTACAGCTGCAAAATACATTAAAATTCAAGTGATAAAAATAATATTTGTAAAAGACAAATAATTTCGTAAAAATCAATCATTTACCTGCATTGCAAAGTTCTCCCTGGTACCCATGTTTACATCCGCTGTCACATTTTCCCGTTGTTCTGTTGCAGTTTAAATCATAAAGGCAATTTCCACTACAGTTATTTTTACAATCTGATCCAAAGGTTCCAGAAACGCATGCTGACAGGTAATGAAAACAGATAACTCGCCATTTTTTTTTTTATCAATTTAATCGTTTCTTTAAAAAGAATATATTTTCCATATGCAAATTCTGATAATTAAATATTTATCTTTTCGATAAATGTCGGTAGCAAAGGCTTACTTTTGTTACAAATCACACCCATCCATCCGTCTGAACAACCATTCGAGCAGGTACCATTTATGGGATTGCAAGTGAGATTATGTTTACAATGTCCAGAACAAGATAACGAACAATCAGGACCATACTTTCCATTTGAACAGGCTTCATAAGAAGAGAATTGCATATATATGTCTTGATTACAATATTAACTTCATACAGATAATAATCAAATATATAAAAACAAATACATATCTTTCAATTTTCTTAATTCCTCGCACAGCTAGTTGCCGAGGAATAGATGCATTGCTACTTTGGGTAAGGGGGTGTGCGTGAGGATGTGTGAGGGAGAGGGTGTGTTTGTGTATGTTTGTGTGTCCGTTACAGCTTGTGTGCAAGATTTAAAGAGAACCTTTGCACTGTCATTTCAAAGCTTCCCCATACTATGTGACATGGTAAAAGGACGAAACCTATTGACTTTCGATCAATTGAATTGAATATTTCCTGCTCTTGAGAATTTATCTTGCATATGAAGACATTGTCATTACCGGTGAAGTTCCTGCCACGAAGGGATGTTCCCCTCAGCTGTGCACTTGTTTAACTTAATATTGGTTTCATTCACTTTTCATTTACACCTAATACTGTTTAATTTTTTTTTTATAAAAATTAATATTCATGTAACTTTCATGTAAAAAAGACTTTCAATATTTCGTTGAAATATTTAAATGAAATGAGGTATAATCAAGTCAGATTACCTTGGTTACATTTGGTGCCAGTCCAACCACTTTCACATCCAAGGCATGTCCCGTTTGTGACGAAACATTGACCATTTTTGCAGTGCTTAGGACACGGAACATTGCAGTTATCATCACAGTAACCTCTCTTATCACAACCTAATGCCAACATTTGTCTGTTAATACATGATACAAGAATATGTCATCAATTACACTTAAAGAGAGACCGTTTAAATCATAATGTTAATTGAAAATTTATATATTAATTTCATATATCTGTTCCTTAAAACTTTAATGAACATTGGATGATGCATATCTTTAAATGCACGTTCTATTTGAGTTCAAATCAGACAATTAAAAAAAAATCTCTAGGTAAACTATGAGCAGCAAAGAACAATCAATTAAATGAATAGATCTGTTATGATCCATAGAGTCAGTTTGAAAAAGAACCGTACATACATGTTAAATAGATTGATCAATGTGAAGAAAAAGGAAATAATAAAAAATCAGTTTGATTTGAAAATTTAACTTCACTCAGACGATAACTTTTTTTCTTGCTAATTCATGTATTATGACGTTTTTCATTGCGTTATAATCCTAGATTTAATTTTGTTTTATTAAGTTGATCCAACATTCCAGCTGTTTTTGCAACATTATGTATGTATCTTAACCTCTGATATAAAATGTAGAATTATATAATTAACTTTATTATCCATATTTATTTTTGAATTGCAAGAGAGCTTATATTTTAATTTTTGCTGAATGTGATAAAACTCACCCTTTTTCTTCAAAATTAAAGAAACATAGCAATTTCAAGAGGCCTATTTTTTCTACTTGAATTTGAAACGCAACTTTTTGAAATTGAAAATTAAAACAACAAGTCTCTACTTTATATTGTTGTATTAAATGTGAAATGATACCGGTATTTGGTCAGTAAATCAGTATACGAACAGGGACATCTTATGGAGTTAGTGAACTTAGGCACACTTTACCCCGGGTAGTAATTTTTTTGTCGTAAAACATTGTCCTTAGCATTGCATATACCTTAGCTTATTTAAATAGATGTTTTTTTTTTTGTAATAAGCAATTGCTTAAGATTTCGTTATAAATAATTTGGAAAAGTTCACTTACCTAGAACGACTAAATTGCATAATTCTATAAACGTGTACATTTCATTGACAAACTGAATATATCGTCCAAATGAGGTACAGACGTGTTCCGTTGTCAATGAAGGAGGATAAGACCCGTTATGTTTGAAACACAGTTGACCACTTCTTATTGCTGGAGAATTTGATACATATAGGGAATATCCTGATAAACGACCCTCTTGTCTTCGTTCTTGAAACGAAACCAATAAAATGACTCTAAGTCAATAAAAAAAGTTTAATTAACTATTAAGTTATTTCTTAAAGTTTGATATATAGACACTACCTTCAAAGTAACACTTACTTAAGTCCTCGGTATATAATCGGAAGGAAAAGTTTATGGCATATATTGCTTTTGTCTCTCGAAGATCAACCATCCACCATGGATTATGTTCTTTATCTGTCCTAGTACATGTTTCCATGTTGTTATCCACAGCCATACTGGAATTGTATGATCCATCAGGACATCTATTGCATGGAAACGTTGTACTTTGATATGTAGACTTTTTCCGAGAAAGATCGTCTAAATGGATAAAAAGCTCTATTCGAAAATAACATATTGCATAATCAGGGTTCTCCAAGAGCTGTTTTACTGTGTTGCTCCAGACACAGTAAAGTTTCTCCGACACAGTAACGATTCAAATTTTATGTGTGCAACACAGTAAAATTTTTGCAGACACAGTAAGAACGTTGATAATTAGAAAATCCAAAAATATAAATTATCTCTAACTGAAAATTTAATCAAACAATTCTAAAATTTTTCAATTCTAAAAGGTAAAGTACTTAATTACTAGGGCTCCACCATGATAATTATCTCCTAGACCCTCGCTGGACTTGACGCATGAAGGAACAAAGACAAATAATTTGTTTTCACAATTCCATGTAATGGTTAATTTTAGTTGCATTAAAATACATTGTATCATTTAAAAAATAATTAAATATATGTCTTCTGTATAGAGCCACTGCTCTAGAATTATGTTAGCACTGTCAGTCAAACATAACATCGTACCAAAGTCGTTATTTGATGTAAATAAATTGCTTAAAATTTTCAACATGTTCAAGGAACGCAAACGTATTTTACTATTTTGAAGTTTCTTTTTTGTAATTTGGTAATTCGATAAGGAAAACTGACAAATAATCATGTCAAATTTACTTTCAAAAATGTTAAGTAGTTTTACTGTATCGACCAGAATTTTCTTCGCTTTTCAGAACACGTGTTTTTACTTTTATCAAGATGTACGACCATACCATTAGTGTAACGAATTAGCCATTTTTAAAAAAAAGTGTATGCATGTATTCTTTTGTAATCATAATTAATAGTGATTCAGTTGCGAATTTGATCACGAAAATATCGCGAAATCTTAATGCTTCATGTGTAAACTCTGAAACACAGTAACATTTCAAATAATGGAGAACCCTGCATGATCTATCAGAGCATCGGAGGCATAGGACTGTTGTACTTTGTGTCAAAGAATTGTTTGTTGAAAGATCGTCTGCATCAATAAACTTATCAAGATATTTGCAGATTGTATAAAATCACAATAAAATTAGTGTGATACATATATATTATTATAACAGTAACTTGATCCGAAGGGTCGTATCACGTCGAGTGGACAGGCGCGGATCATCAGATCTAACGAGACGCGAAGCGTCGAGTTTGATCTAATGATCCACGCCTGTCAACGAGACGTGATACGGCTCTTCGGATCAAGTTGCTGGTATAATGACAAATTTATTATATACCCCCTTGTAACTGGCTAAATATATCAAAATAATCCTTTAGAGATCAATAGAATAAACAAAGCATTAAAACAAAGGACTTTTTAACGCACAAGAAAAATAACGTCATTTTTCTGCGTACTACGTCATCAGTTTCAGAGAGTGGTGATATGGATTCAGAAAACCACAGTGTGGTGATCCGGAAAGTCGGATCACGACGTCACGTGATTGCATGAATTCAACAGTAAAATAGAGTGATACACATTAGGTATATAATAAATGTACATACCATACCCATTCGAAAAGAAAATTCCAGCTAATACGAATATGAACTTCAGATTATTCATAATTGATTGCGAAATTTAAAATATATATAATTATTGGCACCTCAATACATATTTATGGCTGTAATATTAGTTTGTGTGCATTTAGATACCAAACAACAACTCTCCAAATTTTATAATAGAAGGCTTTCCAATGGAGGCGGAGCTAAATTTAATTAAATGTACACGCCTAGTATTCATTAATAATACATGTACAATTTTGGTTATTATTTTTGGAAAAAATATCACAATTAACAATAAGCAAAACAACTCCTTTTTTAAATTCTTGCCTGTTTCAAAACGTGTTTAAAGGTGTAAAGAAATTAGTCTAGTTGAAGCTTGGAGAAAGCTGATTTCTGTCGCAGGGAATGATCTAATGGATATATCTGATTTGTTTCGTTTGCTGAATGGTCGAAATCCCGCCCTAGAATCTATCGATAAATGTAAACAGAGTGATAAATTGAAAGCCTGCCAAAGATTTCCTTTGCCTAATATTTAATATGATTCCAGTTTTATCTTTGTCTAATATTTCATCAGAATAATACAAAATTAACGTTCGGGAGCACGAAAGTTACGAATTGTAATTTTCACAAATTATTTGTAGCCATTCTTTATTTATCAACGATTTTGACTCATAAGTCAACAAAGACTATCGTTTCCTTATGCAAGTATGATATATATTTTCTTCATATCCAATGAAAAAATTAACTGTGCTTTGAAAAAAAAAATGCAGCGAGGGGCTTAATATATACCTTTTTAATTCTTTGGGCGATCGATTTTTTGTTCTGCTGTTTGAAACAATTTGTCTTCTTTTTACGACTAGTGGGCGGAAAATATATCGTGCACTGAATACAATGCACTATGTGCAGGCTATGTCTCAGATAGTAAAATAAATCTAGAATGAAACAATTTAAAATTTCCTAGATTACATAAGTGCCGAGTATAAGACAAAATGCAGATCTTTATCGGCAAAAGGTGGTGTCTCCATATGAGTTCAACCTCAGAGGTCCTTTCAAAAATACAAATTTCAAAGCAGAGCAAACACAAAGTTTAACCTATATAACATCAGAAGTGGAATCAGGTGACATGCAGGAATGAGCATCCCCTGCTGATCGGTCACATCGCCGTGTGCTCCCTTACATTTTCGGTAAATAACTGAAAATCCTAGCTAATTCTTGTATAAAAAATGGTCTAACATTTAGTATTAAAATGTCAGTCAATATTTGATTTCATGATAGACAGTATTTGCTGAAAAGGTCATCATATCGACCATAGAACTTACGAAATCATGACT